AAACTCCAGCCCGAACTTCATTTCCACCTTGGTCAGCTTGCCCAGGTTTGTGTAGAGGGACAGCCTGTTGATCTCGCGAGGGGGGAAGGGCTTGTTGTCATCACCTGGCTCTTCAACGCTTGCCTTGAGCCCTGCTGGCTCCAGTGCTTTCACTGTCCAAGACACGTTGGAGCCATTGACTTCGTTTGCAATGGTGTGGAGGTGCAAGGCTGGCTGCGGGAGGGAAGCCATTGTCATTTTGTTCAAGATGTCCTGAAATGCAACAGGCTTCTCGGCAAAAGATCGCATGCATGCTGGCATCTCAGTGCCAGCCTTTGCCTTGGGCACCACTTTGGAAGTGGGGGTGATGCTGTAGGGAATCAAGCCCCCGGTCTCCTCCAACGACTTTGCCTCCGGGCCTGTTTTGAAGAAGCCAAACACCGGGAAGACGGGGCCATCAAGCACGGTCTCGGCCAAAGCCTTCACGTAGAGATCGCCCTGCTTGCTCACCCAGAACTCGTGCGTGGTCACCCCTGCCGGCTGATAGCGCCCCATGCCTTCCAAGCCACTGTCCTGAAGGTCTGAGCTGAGCGTCACGTTGCTGGTCTCTTCCTTGGTGGCCACCTGCAGCCTTAGACACCCGGACAACAATGAAGCAAAACACCTACCTGCCAGCATTGTGTTGGCCTTAAGTGTCCAGTCAAGGGGCTCTTCTGTGGTTGTGTCTGCTGCTCGCTTCCGGCCAACCTTCCCTTCTGGGTTGAATTCCTCCTCATGCTTCTTCTTGATGTCGGCCCAGGACATGTTCTTCCAGACCTCGCAGTCTGGCAAAGCAACCTCTCCGCAAGAGCAGCCCTTATCCAAGGTCTCCTGCAACCAGCGCAGTTCAAACTGCTGAGGAACGCTCAGCTGGAACTTGTCCATGTCCAAGACGGGCGCCTGCTGGCTGACAGGCCTGCCTGCCTGCAAGCCTGCTGGCAAGGGTGCCAAATCATAACTACCGCGGGCAATGTCTCCCTTCACAGACTCCGCGACCGCCTGCTCCACATTTGCCAGGATTGCTTCCTTGTGGGAGGCTTGGACGCCCCACGTTACCCCAACATATGCCAGCTTGGGCCAAGCCCTGTCCTTGACAGCATTCATGCGCTGGACTGCAGAGGCAAGCTCTGTGTCATACATCGTCTCATCTTTGATCATCAGGGTGTTCTGTGCGGTCAGCCTTGTGCCTTGGCAAGCCGCAGTCAGGATCTCAGCGTACAACTGCGCCCCTGAAAGCCACTGCTTCCTCTCCACATCCAGATCGCGGTTAGTGTCCCGGGCCCAGGCGCAAGTGTGAAGCTTGCAGAAGTTGGCCATGTCTTTCCGGGGCATGCACTCCAACTTGTTGGTTACAGCCTTCCTGCGGAACAAGGTGGAGGCTCCAAAGACGTTCTTGCGGGCCAATTCTGCCTCCACCGATGAAGCAACCACAAGCCAGAATTCAAATCCAAGATCTCGATCATCACTGTACATAGTCTCAATGTTGAAGAGGCCTGTGGCGCGCCAAACCACCAAGTCAGAGTTGCTCTGCAACTCCTGGAACCACAGGTCGCGGTGGATTTGGATCTTTTTCTCCTTTTCCCTCTTGTTGACTTTGCCGACTCGTGCTTCAGGCTGGTTGGGCGGGAAAATGACATAGGCAGAAGTGCTCGGCATGGAGTTCAGCTGAGTCGCCACATGCGCGGCCAGAGTCTTGGTGTGGAAGGAGGCCTGGGCGCCCAGCATTGGCAAATTCAGGAAGCTGAGAGTGGGGATATCTTCCCTGCTGATCAACATCCTGCCAGCCAGCTGGGAATGAGCAGCTTGAGTCAAAGTCTCTGCTGCTGCCAGGCTCTTCGCCATCATGCACTGATAGAACAGCTTGTGCTCTTCCCACAAATTGTTCACAGCATCGGTCACGGACTTCTGAAACTCACATTCTGTGGCTAAGGCCTGCGTGCTGTGCCTTTGACTGGCAGCTTTGTGCCCTCGCATCAAATCTTGCTCAGCTTTCAAGGCACGGGCGAGGCCTGTAAGCCTGCGTGCCTGCTCCTCAGCTTCTTCGCTGCGGTCGAAGCTATCAGGCAACTTCACCATGGCCTGCTCTTGGGTCAGCACAAATCCCAAGTCCTTCACTTCGAAGTCAGGCCTCATGGCCATTGCCTCGGACATCAACTTATTGTCAAGGAGCCCCTTTCTCCACTGCGACATAAGGACAGTGTGGTTCTTCTCGCTGCCACTGATGGCGAGGATCTGCTCACGGAAGTGCACCATCATGCAGGCCATGATAGAGACCTCCTGCTCCTTGCCAACATCACGAAACTGCCCAATCTGGCTGCTGGAATGGATGGGAGGCACCATCCCTTGCTCAAGAACTCCTCACCTTAAAAGGACGACAAGTTGAGACTTTTTATCAGTTCTGCCTGTCACCTCACAACAGTTCTCACTGAATTCAATCAAGGGGCATTTGGCGTTCCACTTCCCTTCAAGCCGGCGAATGTATTCGGCAACCTTGTCCCAAGAGTGGCTGCAGACTGTGTGCCAGAGAGGGTTCTGCTGCGCATTCACCTTCAGTGATAATGACTTCTTTGGCAGCCAGAAGTTCCCAGACAGCAAATGAAGAGGAACGGCAGTGTGGGCTGGGACCTCTGTCCCCCAGATCACTTTCAGCATGCGTCGAATGTCTGGCGGGGCTGCGTCGTAAACGTACAGGGCAGTGACCTCATCTGGCATGATCCTCGCTTTGTTGACTGCCTGCTTGTTGTGGCGATATATGGACTCTTGCAGCAAGTCTGCCCGAGTCTTGCGGCTGCCTGATGCCAACTTCTTTGTCACAATCTTTTCAAACCTCAGCGTGCATATCGGAAGATGCAAAGCATGCAAAGCCATGTCCCCTGACAGGTAAGCATGACTAAGTCAAAGGCATGTAGTGCATGTTGACCACAGTTGGCCTGACCCTGGCTGTAGCATCCGTCTTGACCCGCAAGCTCTCCATTGTCTGAGACTCCACACTCGATTGCGGGCAGTGCGTTGCAAAAATACCTAGGCAAGTTGAGGTCAAGATAACTCGGGCTGCAGTGTCGCTGTGTGCTTGGGCTTGGGCAACACGTTTCAGCCAAGACACGGATGCACTTCAGGATCCTCTCAGAGATGTCTTTCCGCAACTCCTTTTCAAAGGTGGACAAGTCCAAGCCCAGCTGAAGCACTCCCCAGCAGACAAGGTGGGATGCCATTGTGACAGAAGACCCCGTGCTCAGACTGACGCTGAGTGGTAGTATCCCATCAGCCAGCAGGCCTGCTGGCCTGCTGCTGTCAGGCATGGGCTCGCACCAGTCAAACAAGACCTCGAGTGGGTATTTCTCGGTTTCGTTTCCGAAGCCAGCCAGGAATTTTTGCATATTGTCTCGCACAGCATGCAATGGAGGAGCACCCTTGACATGGCAATCTTCTTGGACTCCGAGCTGCCACAAACGCAGCGGACGCTTCTCATACTTGCCCCCCCCAGCAAACTTTTTGGTCTGAAAGTCCAGGATCGGGTCTGCTCCAGCAGAAGAGCAGCATAAGGACTCCAAATCTTGAAGCTTCTTCACATATTCATCCCGCAGCGTTTGTGTGCTCAACTGGGCTGACATCCATTCGCAAACGTCCACATACTTGGGGTAGCCATCTGGAGTCTTCTGGTCGATTGACTCTTGGAGGAGTTTCATCACATCCTTGAAGATGCTCAGCAAAGCATTTTGGTGAGGTATGGGTTCTCCAGCACTCATGACTAACTGGCTGCTGGCAGCAGGAACGCAAGTCACTGTTGAATCTGAACCAAAAATCGACTGCCGTGCAAACACCAATTCCTCACAATCCTTGCGCAAGAAATAACGAATGGCATTCATGCAAAGTAGTTGGAGGCTAGGAATCCGCGACACTTTTTCTCCCTTAGCTCATTAGTGGCCTGCAGGCCTGCAGGCCCAACATGTGGAACCGTCGCACAATGCCGGCCATGGCAATTCCCTGTGCCTACTCATGGGCATGGTTCTGCAAGAACTCATCAACGGCCTGCTTGGTGGTTTTCTCTAACGTGAAGAGTTTGTACCACTCACGCTCCAAATCATCCCGCCAGTATTTGGAAGGCACATTGCCATAGAAGGCAGCTCTCTTCTGCTCCCAAAGCAACTTGCCATCCTCATTGGCAGGGCAAATGCGGCCAGCAAAAGTCTTGCGAGTGGGCCATGCCTCAATGGGTGGCTCTTCTTCTTCTTCAGGCTCATCCGCAAGTGAGTTTCTGGCATCCCCATCTTCTGACGGGCTCTGGCTGCAATCATCAGACTTCTGTTTCTTGTGTGCTGAACTCGGCCTCTTCATGGCCCGCTTTCCCTTGGTCTCAGCCTGACTTGCCTTGGCCTTGGCCTTGGCCTTCACTTTGGCCTTGGCCTTCGCCTCCTTTGCCTGAGCCCGACTTGTGTCCAAGCAAGGAAGGTCTGGCTTCTGCTGCGAGTTGCTTTGGTCCGTCTCAGTCTCAGGTGCCACCTGTCCAGCCTTCTTCAAGGCAGCCAACTCACCCTCCGTGAGGACACCTTTCAGCTGAGTGAAGGTGGGTGTCTCTGCCTCTGGCTCTGTCTCTGCCTGGACAAGCGTGGCCGCTTGAAGCTCCTTGGTCCCTGCGTTTGGGGTGATCGACTTGTTGGTGGAAGTATCAGCCTTCTCCTCAGGTGCGGCGGTCTCAGCCTGCTGGCCTGCTTCCACTTCAGCCTGCTGGCCAGCTTCATGGCATGGTGAATCATCTTGGCTGGCAAGTGCATGCTCTTCATCGCTGGTCAAAATGGGAAAGGCCATAGCGCCTCCAAACATGGCCAGACGCAGGACACTTACGATGAAAAGGAGTAAAGTGCTAGCAAGTGAGCCATGTGCCTGCTGAAGCGCAACAAGAAGGCAGCAGGCACAATCTGCAATGCGTGTCGCATCAGCATGCTATCACCTCTTTCTCTCTGGCCAGCATTCGGAACTGTCATCTACCCCCAGGGATCAAAGTCAGGCTCTTGCAACTGGGCGGCAGGCTTCTTCAATGTCTGCTTGCCTGCAGCTCCTGCTGGCCTGCTGCAGCTTGACTTTTCCTGCTGCTTCGCCCGCTTCTTTGGCCTGCTGCTGCTTGACTTCTCCTGCTGCTTGGCCCGCTTCTTTGGTTGTGTGTCTGCGGCCTTCTCTGCCCAAGGGTCCTCGAAGTCGGGGCCGGGGGCAGTTGGCGCAGGAGCTGTCTTGCTGTGCATCCAAGCCAGAACAATGGCAGCGCCAAGTTCAGCAGGGTACAGGCCACTGCCCTTCAACTGGTCAGTTCCGTTGACTTGGACCTTGCCACCCTTCTTCTTCCTCACCATCAGCTCTAGGTGCTTCTTCTTTTTTCTCCCCGGACAAGTGCAAACTTTCGCAACAGGTTGGAACCACGTCCCTGAGCACATGAACTTGTACTTCTTCTGGAAAGTCGGCTTCTGCAAGACAAAGGTGCAGCGGTCCACGCAATAGTAAATAAGCCGGGGCCCAATTCCACTGCTGGCCTGCCGGCCTGAGAAGAACAAGTCCATGCAGGCTTCCAACTTCTCCAGCCAAGGCTTCAAAAATGAGAAGAGGCAGGAGCCGGCTGGGTTTTCCAGGCATGCAAAGACACCCCGCGCAAGAGCCAAAATGAACAGCATGAGGGCAGCCAAGGCGATGGAGTTCCCGTTCTGGACAACGGCTGAGTCCTCCTTGCCCCCAAAGTTGCCCTTGGTGCGCTGAGTGACTGAGCTGCAAGCAAAAGTGAAAGTCTTGCATTCAGGCGCCAACGTGCACAAACCTCCATCGCGAATTCGGGCCACAAGGGAGCCTGCCTGGAGCAGGCCTGCTCGTGTTGTCACGCTGGCATTCCCATCCTGCAGGTAGTCGTAGGACTCAGCTGAGAAATTCTTCTCCAAGGCTGCGTTCTTGACAGAGTTTGCCACAGTGAACACCTCGACGCAGTCCAAGTCCCTGGTCTGGTTTGCGATGGCGCTGCTGTCCAAGAGCTCATGCAACGTAACCCCTGCCACTTCCATGTTGCCCATGCGACCCTTCACAATGGTGGCAAACATTCCCACCACAAATGCCCTATCCAAAAAAAGCAATTCCTGAGCCCATGCTCCAGCTGACTTGCGTGTGGCGCATGTACCTATCACTCACTGCCTGCATCGCACCTGCGTGGCTCATATTGTTCTTGCCTTCCAAGCGTGCGAGCCTGCTGGCCTATCGAAACCGGGCTAGCAATTGCCAGCAGGATCTTGGCAAATTGGGAAAATAAGCATGTCCTTCTGGCGCAGGCTCAAAAACTTGTGACTGCTGCTCCAGCCAGCTCAAGTCGAAAACCCTGTACGACCTATCCCAAAGCAATGCTCTTACAGCCTCTGCTGCCTTTGGCAGTGCGAATTTAGTGCGGCAAAGCGCCTCCAATGCAGAGTACATGGCAATCTGTTTGCTGGACAAAGGCACCATGGCATGCACAGTCTTGGGCACTTGGCCTTGAACACGCACTATGCGCTCCGGTGTGCACACTAGCAGTGGAGGCTGGCTCAAGTTCAGATCGCGGACGTACATCTTCAAGCAACAGTAAGTGCCCTCTGCTTGGACAGTCTCGTTCATCAGATCTTTGTGACTTTTGCTCAAATCTCTTCCCTGCAACAAAGTGAAGCAATGTGGAACTTCTTGCTGGCCTGCTGGCCTGTCTGCTGCGGGCGCTGCGCGAGGCCGGAAAGCATTGGACAGCTCCACGCCAATTGGCTGCAGCCAGTCCTTGAAGTTCCGCACAGCGGACACGTGCCGAGTCACAAGCTCCTCCTGGCGCTTCCCATTGCGGCTGTCCAAACCTTGGCTTCCACAAAACGGGCCACAGTTCCCTCCCAAATTCTATCATCATCGCTAATCACAAGCCAAGGTGCTTTGCGCAATGTGCTGGAGGATCTCCTGCGGTGTCTCCCAGTGACTCTTCCTCTTCAGCAGTGCCAGGATCAAAGCAAACAGCTGATCTATATCTTCATGGGTATGGCCGACCATGAGATGGAAGAGTGTTGCGCTCTTAAAAAGACCGCGAGACACCAAGTAAGCCAGGAATAGAACCACATGCTGGTTCTTTGCGGATTTCACTGTGTTGTCTGCCACAACAACTAAGTGTGACGGCAGTCCGCGGGATTGATGGCCAGCAGGCCTGCAAGCCTGCTGAAAAACGCATTCTATGGTTTGGCTCAAAACCTCCAGGAAATAGTCAGAGCCACCAAGCACCTGAGGGCCCGCCATGTAAAGATAGGTGCCCCATCCGTGGGCCAGTGCACCAGTAAAGGTCAAGGTTGGGCGAATGATGCGGTCCAGCTCGTGCGTGACTTTGCGGAAGCTCCACCTCGGCCAAGCAAACTTGGAGTGGTCCATGTCGTCAATGATGATGACAAGCACATCATTGTGAACCTTGCTGGCGAAACGAAGGCTCCAGTACATCAAGCGGTCAGTGTACTGGTCCCGCAAGTGCTTCTTCAATGCCTGGGCTGCTTTGCATTTGTCCTGCCAGGAAACCCTGGCTGCGTGCAAGATCCGCTGCAGGTCGAAGCATATTGTGCACTGGCTGTGCTGGCTTGTAGTGCGCATGGGCAGCATGTGTTTCCAGACTTTGGCGTAGCGCTTCCGGAAGGTTTCATAGGATGGGCAAGGGCCCACCTCCGGCGCAAGCTCCTCCAGCACACTCCATTCAGCAGTCATCTGCCAGTATAGGTCTGAAATTTGGCAGTGCTGAATGTATCGGGCTGGCAGGCCTGGTCATACAGGACACAGCCACTGGTGGAGAGCCATGCTTGTACGCCATATCCTGCAGAAAGCAATTGTCAGTTGTCATGGTATGATGTCAAACACAGAATGCAAGAGTCTGATAAACAAAAAACATCCGTCCTCATCCCAAGGATCACCATTTAGAGACAACGCACATCTCTCATCCTCAGGCATGGCCTCTGCAGCAGACTGGTGGAGTTCTTGGAAGAAATGGTCGCACTTCATAGTGGCACGGCCATCTCTGACGGAGTCGAAGTTTTGCTTCTTCCGCCCCACGTTGGTGCGCATGTCGGGCTGCCCCTTGATGTATTTCCGCATTGTGGGCTGGCTAGTCCCCAGCTTTGCGCAGAAGTTGTGGAAGCACACACGTGTCTCACCAACAAAATAATGAGACTTGGTAAGCTTCTTCTCTTCATCTCCAAATGTAGCCTGCAGCAAGTGAATCCGTTCTTCCACAGAAATTGACCAGAATGCGCTGCAAAGGGCCTGCAGGTCTGCAAGCCTGATAGCCTTTGGGCAGCACCCTTCCAGTTTGCATTTCCGAGGGCAGCCTTTGAGCCACCTTTTCTTCACACTCTCTGAACCGCATCCCTTTGCTTCAAACTGAGTATTTTTCTCCTTGGTGGTGGACCTCTGCAACAGCAGACTGGGCGTAAGCATGGACACCTTTCGCGGCTGCTTGCTGGCAGGCTTCCATGGATCGTCTGCATCTTCCCAGTCTGCAATTGTTACAGCAGAGCTTTTTACATTCGCCCCAGAATGCTCGTCTGCCTGTGTCCACGGATCCGGCCAGTCTCCCCCTGCCTCCAACCATGGATCGGGCCAGTGCTCGTCCTTCCGCTCATGAGAAGTGGCCCCCTTGCACTTTTTACCCCTTGAAGTGCACCCCCACCACTTCCTCTTACTGTTGGGCATGGTAGCAGCTGCGGGCCAGGCAAAAAGCAAATGCCTGTTGCAATGCAAATGACATGCTGGTGCTTGGTGGCATGCAAGTGCAGCCTTTCTTGTCCCCCTGTTTCATCATGACTGCCGCATGTGAACCCCAACCCAAACTAAATCTCATCCTGCTGGCCTGGCTTCTTGTGAGATTTGGCCTCTGATTTATCTGCCATCCTACTACGCTTGCGTTCTTCGCAAGCCCGGCGCCGCTCCAACTCTTGCGCTTTGCGCTGAAGAACCAAAGGATGGCTCGACCAAGCCCTGCTCAAATTTCTTGCATCAGCCTTGAACCCTAGCTTCTTGACTTCCCTGTAGAAGGCCGCCTTCTGCTGGCTGACCGGCAGGGACTCCAACTTCTCCAGGCAGCCTAGCCCGCTCGCCTGCTGGCCTGCACTTCCGGGCTGGCCTGCATCTCCCTGCTGGCTGGAGTCGGCTTCCTGGCCTGTGTCTGCCTGTTGCCCAGTAGGCTTTTTCTCAGGGCTTGTCAGCAAGGGTCCCAGCCAGTAGCTTGGGTTGGGAACTGCTTGGCATTGGTCATTTGTTGAGTCTGAGTTGATGGTGCTGGCATGCACGTTGAGCTTGTGCCTCGCATCTTTTCTTTTATCGCGGCGCTTCAAGCTGCTTCTGCTTTCAACAAATGAGTCGTGCAATTTTGAAGTGGCATTGTCTCGCTGAGGTGTGTGGCAATCATTCTCGGCCCGCGGACTTGTCAGCCACGCCTGCCCAATGAGGCCGCCAAACATCCCAAGCCTCAGCCGAGCATCGGATATTGGGATCAGGTGACAATGCCGGAACCCACCTTTCCACACCCTTCCAGATTCCCGAAGCCCGCCTACCTGGATTCCCGAAGCCCCCCCCCACCCCTTGAACCTCCCCCCAGCCCCCAGAAAAATCAGGAGGTCCCAGGAAAAGCCACCGAGGCCGCCAGAATCCCGACGTGGGCTGAGGCCAGGGGGGCCTCAGCCCCTGTCGGGACTCCAGGCCTGGCTAGTCATTCCAGATGGGGGCTGAGGCAGGGGGGCCCTCAGCCCCCATCTGGAATGACTAGTTTGGGCCATCCCCTGTCGGGACTCCAGGCCTGGAGTCCCGACAGGGGCCTGGCCTCAGCCCACGTCGGGATTCTAGCGGCCTCGGTGGCTTTTCCTGGGACCTCCTGATTTTCCTGGGGGCTGGGGGGGGAGGTTCAAGGGGTGGGGGGGCTTCGGGAATCCAGCTTCGGGAATCGGGAAGTGGTTTCAAGGTTACTGTCGCTACCGAAAGGCACCAGAGCGCACAGCCTGGACATCTGATCCAGGCTTGTCGGGAATTGCCACAGAGCAAACACGAAGGGGCCAACCGACGCTTGACTGCTGACCGCCAAGCTTAATCCCCAATACAACGCAATGCAGAAAAAATGTTTCGAGAACAGCAAGGGAACAGGGTCCTTGAGAAAGGGCCCGTCTAGTTGTCCATAGTTAGGGATGGAGGACGCCTGGCCACACCCGGCAGCTGGAGGCAAAAGGGTTGCACTGTACATAGTTAGCTTGGAATGGATGACACCTGGCCACACTGGCCGAACACCGGGAAAAAAAGGGTTCCCGTGTTTGCTCGGCAGCCCGAAGTGAGAAAAGGTCAAGTCTTAGCAATTCCTTCCCATGCTGGACAGTGAGTGGCTTTAACGCTTCACATGTCGAACAATAAGCCCATCTTATGGACAAATGGCCAATGGTTTAAGTCCGATATGTTTTGAAAAATGGTGTACTATTATTATGTTGTTTTGACTTGTTTTACACGATGACTGGCAATACCCTACAACTTTGCTGGCTCTGCTTTGTGCAAAGGGGGTGGGCGCCAAAGTCAAAACTGCCACTTCACTGAGTGTCATTCCACTCCAGCCAGTGAGGTTGTTGTCTACAGGACTATGGGCTCAGGGTGGGTTGAAAGTGATCACCGACTTGCTGCGGACCCCCGGAATGCAGGGGTGACAGCAGAACTGTACCAGTTAGTTATACTTCCACAAGCAGTGGTTCGGTGGCTCTTGAAGGGCTTAGGCTTGCAACTAAGGTCCAGACCGTGAGCAGCAGCGGCCCAAGCACTTACAGTCGCAAGCCTGGCCAAGGCTGTTGATGCTATTTTTGCGGGACATGGCTGGCAACCTGCCAAGTGTTTTGGGTGAAACTGTGTTCACCTACTATCATAACGAACATGTAGTGGGCAAAGCAGGCCTGCAGGCCTGCAGGCTCTCAGGGTCTCCACCTGAGCACTGCCATGCAGTTGGACATAATTCATTATTGTTCTATGTTCACTTCATGGGACCCAGTGCGCCAGACTCGTTTCAAGCACTTTCACCAAGGCGGGTTCGCTGCAC